CAGAGTCTGTGTCTCCCTCTCTCTCTGACCCTCCCCTGCTCACACTGTCTCTCTCTCCCTCTCTCTCCTAGAAATTAAAAAAAAAAAAAAAAAAAAGCAGACTGTTAATGGCCTGCAGCGCACATGTGGCACCGGAGCTGCGGCAACATGAGTGTTCTAAAAGGCAGCATTTAGGCTCCAGAATGACCCGGGCTTAATGTGTGCTGCACTGGCAATAATCTGACCCTACCGATTCTTCAGGAAACATTGCTACTACTTTCTTCCTTCAAGGAATTGAGGAATGTCAGCCCACGGGGCGGGACTCCCTCTGGTTAAAGGTTCTCACTTATAAACTTAGCTGGAGACCAAGTTTCAAGAGCAAAGTGAAAAACCTAATGCAAACAATGCAGGGAAGGGAAAACACTAATCTCCTACAACACAGGTGGGCTGTCATGAGGCCATTACCAGCCTGATGGCTGACGGGACAAAAATTCCATGTCACTAAAGCCAAGGCCACGCTAATAGCTGTCCGACAGCCTGACCGAAGCAGAGAACAACCAACCGAAATGGAAAAGAAGAACTGTTTTTTACTGGTATTTACTTGCATACCTGACATTCTTCTTAGCCCTATTTTTAAAGCTCAAGACCAGAGTGCAACAACTACGTGAGAATACAGTAGGGGCTGCTCTCCCTCGCTCTCCCTGTCTGCCGTGGGCTGGTCACTGACTCCGCCTCCTCCCGGACCAGGTTCCAGCCACGCTGAGAGGTCAGGGCCTCTTGCCCCGAAACCCCGATGGGAGAATCTGAACCTAGCTGCCCGCACTGCCTCTGATGACTCTGAGCCCGAGAGGCTCTGCCTGCAAATGGAGGACCACAAACGCTGACTGCTTCGACAGGCCTGGCACCAGTCAGCGCTTGTGGTGAATTCACCTCAGCATCCCCTGAGCACTTCTGCTATGTCAGGCCCTGTGCTGGGTGTTGCAGACACAGACGCCCCAACACACACACACACACACACACACACACACACGCGCGCGCGCGCGCGCTCTTGTTTCCCTAAGAGCCAGAGTCCCTCTCCTCATGGGCTCACATTTTAGTTGGAGGCATCAACACAACACGCAAATGCATGAATGTATTTCAGATCATGGTGATAAGGGCAGTGAGGAAAATCCTGCCGAACAAGAGATATTCGGGAATGAGAAGAAATGCTGAAAGAAAACACGCAAACATTTTTAATCCCCAAATTTCCATACCTCTCTGAACCCAGGCCTCCCCTGGTACAAGGGTTAAGGCAGCTAATAGTGAAATTTCCTTCTCCACTCAAAAATGCTATGATACTTGGTTTTAACAACAACATTTTCTACAGAACTTAACCAGCTCCATTAAGCAGTTTAATAGCTTTGGCTTTAAAGTAACGAAATAATATTAAAATTTCAGTAAGGCCAAAAACTATAAGGAGGTGAAAAACTAACTTATGTGCAAGCATAAGCGTTCTTATACAACCAAACGAAACAGGAACACCCACTGGAAAATAAGAAATAGGAATTTCCAATGCAAGTACCAAAAAATATTTGTTAGAGTCTTTTACGTGTACTAGATTTTCAGTTCCCAAAACAATGTGACACATAATAGGTGCTCAGTAAATATTTGTTGAACAAGGTTCAATCTAACCAACATCAAGGAGCCAATGAAAACACTGAAATCTCCAAACAGTGTGCAAAGTTTCAAGTAACGACATTACCTACCTGTGGTAAAGACATAGTGACTGTGGCAACCCCTATGACCTTCTTGGAAGACAGTTGAAAGGCCCATATTTTACCTAACAAAAGGTCCAAATCCATTTCAAAATCTGGTAATTAGCCAAAGAAATAATCAGACAAGTGCCCAACAATGTATGTATACAAAACTATGTATGAGTCACCTGGATGGCTCAGTCAGTTGAGCATCTGACTTTGGCTCAGGTCATGATCTCATGGTTCACGAGTTCAAACCCCATGTCGGGCTCTGTGCTGACAGCTCAGGGCCTAGAGCCTGCTTCAGATTCTGTGTCTCCCTCTCTCTCTCTGCCCCTTCCCCACCAAATAAATAAGCATTAAAACAACAACAACAACAACAACAATGTATGTAGTAAATATGTGAGAATACAACAAGGGTTCTTGTGTTTTTAAGAGTGAAAAATAGAGACAAGTCTAGATAACCCACATTAGAGAATTGATTAGAAGATGAAGCTAGCTAGCTGCTATTAAAAATGATATCAATGTATATCTATCGACAAGGAACAGTACTATGATTGTGATAAAGGTATAAAAGCAATTTACACACAAGAGTTACTATATGACTCAGCAATTCAGCAATTCCACTCCTAGGTGGAGACTGAAAACCTATGTCCACACAAAAACTTGTCCATACACATCAAAGCACCATATTCATAATAGCCAAATGTCCACGGAGTATAGCTCAGGGGTAGAACATTTGACTAGATAATAGCCAAGTGTCCAAACCAAGTGTCCATTGACTGAAGTCAGTCACAAAAGACCATGTATGGTAGGATTCCAATTGTATAATACATCCAGAACAGGCAAATCCAGAAACGGAAAGTAGCCTAGGGCCGGTGGAGGGAGACTGGGGAATGACTGTTAATGGGTATGAGCTTCTTTTTTGGGACGATGAAAATGTTCTGGAATCAGACAGTAGTAACAGTTGCACAGCTCTGTGAATACACTAATAACCACTGAATTATACATTTTAAAAGGGTGAATTTTCCCAGTGCCGTTTTTTTACAGAAATAGAAGAATCAATTCTAACATTCATATGGAATCTCAAGGGACCCCAAGTAGCCAAAAACAGTCTTGAAAAAAAAAATTGGAAGTCTTACACTTCTGATTTCAAAATTTACTACAAAGTGACAGTAATCAAAACAGTATGGTATTGGCATACAGACAGACAAATAAGCCAGTGCAATAGAACAGAGTCCTTATGCTATTATGTATACGGTCAAATGGTCTTCAACAAAAGTGCCAAGACCACTTAATAGGGAAAGGACAGTTTTTTTCCACAAATGATGCTGGGAAAATTGGATATCTCATGCACAAAAATGAACATGGATCCCTACCTTATATCATATATAAAAATTTAAAATGGATTAAAGACCTAAATGTAAGACCCAAGACTATAAAAATCCTATTAGAAAACAGAGGGAAAGGTTTGTGACACTGGATTTGGTGATGATTTCTTAGCATGACGCCTAAAACACAGGTAACACACCCAAGAATAGACAAATACATCAAACTTAAAAAGTTCTGTGTATGGGGATGAGCAGTGAGTGTTATGTGGAAACTAATTTGACAATAAACTATTTGTAAAAAAAAAAAAAAAGAAAAAAAAAAAGTTCTGTGCATCAGGGGTGCCTGGGTGCCTCAATTGGTTAAGCATCTGACTTCAACTCAAGTCATGATCTCATGATTTGTGAGTTAGGGCCCTGCCCTGGGCTCTGTGCTGACAGCTCAGACCCTGGAAACTGCTTCGGATTCTGCGTCTCTCTCTCTCTCTCTCTCTCTCTCTCTCAAAAATAAATATTAAAAAAAACTTCCATGCATCAGAGGACACTATCAACGGAAGGTAAAGGCCAACACAAGAAATGGGAGAAAATATTTGTTGATCATGTATCTGATAAGGGTTAACATACAAAGAACTCCTGCAATTTAACAGCAGAAAAACAAATAATCTGATTAAAAATGGACAAAGGACTCAAAGAAACATTATCTCCAAAGATGTTATACAAATGGCCAAAAACATACGAAAAGATGCTTCACAGCACTCATCTTTAGACAAAGGCAAATCAAAACCACAGCGAGACAGCACCTCACATCAACGGAATGGCTGCTATCAAAAAAACATAAATTAGTAAGTGCTGGTGAAGATATGGAGAAATTGAAACCCTTGCATGCTGGAGTATGAAATGGTACAACCACTATGGAGAACAACATGAAGGTTCCTTAATAAACTAAACACAGAATTACCATATAATCCATCAATCCCACTTCTGGGTATATGTCGCAAGGAACTGAAAGCAGGGTCTCAAAGAGAGATTTCCAAACTCACGTACCTAGTGCCACACAGTGCCATTATTCACAGTGGCCAAGAGATGGAAGCGACTCAAGGTCACTGACGAGTGGATATACAAAGCCTGGCCTATCCATATAATGGAACATCATTCAGCCTTAACAATGAAAGTGATCCTATTACATACTACAACGTCAACAAACCTTGAAGAATTATGTTAAGTGACATAAGCCAGTCATAAAAAGGCAAATATTGCATGATTCCATGTATATGAAATATCTAAAGGAGTCAAATTCATATGTATGTATGTACGTATTTATTTAAATTCCAGTATAGTTGGCATGCTATGTTATATTAGTTTCAGGTGTACAGTATAATGATTCAACAATTCTGTACACGACTCAGTGCTCATCATGGTTAAGTGCACTCTTAATACCCTTCACCTATTTCATGCACCCCGCACCCTAAAGGTGTCAGATTCTTAGAGACAGAAATGGAACAGTGATCACCAGGGTCTGGAGGAAAGGGGGCTGGGGCCCCGCTGTCTAATGACCACGGTCTTGGTTCTGTAAGACAAACCGTTCTCGAGGTCCGCTGCCCTCCAGTGCAAGCGTGCTGAACGCTACTGAGCTGCACATTTTAAAACGGTTACGAAGGCAAAAAAAAAAGGGGGGGGGGAGTTATATTTTATAGCATGTGAATTCTATCCCCAATGAAAGTTATGCAAAATTTTTAAAAAGGGAGTTACATAATTATTTCTAAAATAAAAAATGTGTACGCAGAACAGAAATGAAATGTAAGAATCTACTGAAAAATGTTAACTGTGCACATTACAGGTGAAAAACAGCCTATATTTCCCCACCCTTTCAGACTTTTCTTCTGGGGAAAAGCTAATTACCCCGACAGATAAAACGCAGGGCGCGGGCTCTATTAAGGGCCAGAAACAAGAGAGGCGGTACCTGGGCTGGGGTGTTTGTAGTCACAGGAGACGGCGATGCGCTAACTTGCGGCTCAGTCGGGGAAGCGGCTGACCCCTGCGAGTCCTGGCTGGCTGGCTGCTCTGGAGACAGAGCATCACTGCTGTCTTCGTCAAATGAGAAATCGCCCTGAGTTTGAGGATAGTCCTCCTTCCCAACGCCTAAAGAAAGAAATGATTTCAACTGAACTTGACCTTGGAATACCAAGCTTAAAATGATAAAAGAGACACATTGCTTAGTACAAGAACTTAAGAAGCTGGTTTAAAAGAAAACTGATGGGGCGCCCGGGTGGCTCAGGTGGCTGAGGTTCCGACTTCGGCTCAGGTCATGAAGATCTCACTGCCCGTGAGTTCGAGCCCCACGTTGGGCTCTGGGCTGACAGCTCAGAGCCTGGAACCTGCTTCAGATTCTGTGTCTCCCTCTCTCTGCCTCTCCCCAGTTCATGCTCTTTCTCTTTCTCTCTCAAAAATAAACAATGAAACATAAAGAGAAAATGAACATAATGTACTTCCCAGAGGAAGAACACACCACTACCCATGATGACTACTCTGGAGAAAAAGTCAAATGCGATCAGTCTGAATCAGGTCAAGCCTTTGAGACCCAACTGCCAGTTTCAGGAAATACAGAAGACAAGAAAAGTTTTTAATGACAATGGGAATGCTAATGCATTCAGTAAAATCCAGTAGGTGGACATGGCTAGAGAACAGAAGGCCTGTTCACCAGCGAATAAATACCCAGTAAGACAAGTGAGGAGGGGAAGACCCACCCAGGAGATTAAGATTTAAGAGATATGTCAGCAAAGACAAGGTAAGAACCTGGCTTGGATCCTGATCTGGAATACAACTGTTAGAAAAACATTAAGAGGCGTGGGAGAAAATGCGGCCATGGCTCGGTATCTGTGGATGAGATACCAGCCCAGTTATACCGATGCCTTACTTTTCGGGGCCCATTCCTTTGGGGATGTACTACTTTGAATCACAGACTACAAACTGCCTGAGATTTAAACTCATACCAATGCAAAATATGAAGTCCCCAGAGTAATGGGAACTAGAATAGTTTTTATAGTAGGATATTAATTTTTCAAAATCGCTTGCTGAGTAAGTGGTATTATTTGGATTTTTTTTTTTTTTTTTTGCTAAAACTTGTGCCAGATTATAAAGTATGTGTAGTGAAGAAACATTAGTAACTATGATAAGATCAGGATAAAATGGACAAATATTACCATTCTTAGTAAATACATCTGTACTCATGTGCTATTCACCTTGTTGAACGAACACTGAACAAGATATTCGTCTTTTCTAGAAGTACACAGAATTAAGTAATGAGAAGTCTGCACCACAACAGAAATGAAATAGTATAATGAGTAAGTTGGACTAAGAAAACGTCAGAATGAAACTGGAACTTAAGGACAGAAACCTCAGATGTCATGACAAGAGGGACTTCTGTGTTAACTGGTAAGAGATGCTCAGTCTATCTTACATAAAAAACACACCACCACCACCACCACCACCACAAGAAAAATGGGGACTGATGCAAGTATTAATCAATTTCTAATTCACCCAGAACACAATACTCATGATTGGTGCTGACTTTTTTTTTTGTTTATTTATTTATTTTGGGGGAGAGAGCAAGCACATGAGTGGGGGAGGGACAGAGAGAGAGAGAGAGAGAGAGAGAGAATCCCAAGCAGGCTCTGTGCTGACAGCACAGAGCCTGATGTGGAGTTCTGATGTGGAGCCTGATGTGGAGTTCGATCTCATGAACTAGGAGATCATGACCTGAGCCAAAATCAAGAGTCGATGCTTAACTGACTGAGCCATCCAGGTGCCCCTGGTGGTGGCTTTTTAAAATTAAATTTGTCTGAAACTTCCAAGTTTCTCTTTCTCCCAGAAAAGAGTAAATTTTTAGAGTCTTGCCTATAATTGCTTCCTTAACACTGGAGTCTACAGGAAGGATGTTTTTCTCTACCAGCTCCATAGGACCGGGTCTTTGAGCAATCTTTTCATTCAGATCATCCGCTAGTCGAGCTCTTTTCAACTTCATCTGAGTAGCCTGCAGGGATGGTTCTGCAAATGTTTCTATAAGAGGAAACATAGTTTTAACCATTATTTGAATTACTCTGTTCCATAATGTTATTTCAGGCCAACTGAATCTAATTTAATTTAAACTGGTTTAAACTTATTTATGTGTTCTCAACGCATTTACGGAAAGAGAAATAGGCTGGTGAAGAATGCGGTAGAATACGTTGTATATTTTTAGTCCTGGATACTTTATATTGTCTATATAATGCCCTTAGACTCAAGTTAACATGAACTCAAGCCAAAAATGGGGTACTGCTCTTATTCATTTATGGTAAGAGGATCACAGTCACATTTATTAGGTATGGGGAGGTAGGGAGGATGAACACGAGGGATGTTGTCCAGTCGTGGTCCAAGAAGTATCCAGCTGAGATTTGGCTTCACTGCAAAGTCAACCGCTGGACGTGGTGCTGTATCTTACTTAGGTCATAAGCTTCTCTGCAGGAGTCAAAGGAAGAGCTACATATCAAATTCTTGGACTGATCCCTATGCGTCTCCGTCAATCATCCTCATTAAGAATCTGGGTTTATTTCTGAATATATGACCTTGGAACATTCAATTACATAGTCCTATGTCATAAAGATAGATGGCAATGGTCATAAAGAAGCCTTGGCTCATCTACTTACTGAAGACATGAAGTTGTACAACAAATGCAAAACTAATGTAAGTACCATAGCTCGTTCAGGGTAATTCTGTCAATGACTTGGCTTCTGGTACTTCTCATTAACATTTTATTACATCGTTCTAAGTAATGTTTATAATTGATTAAAAAATGGTGAGGTGTTAACGCCAAATTCTGAGTTGATAGTTGCCTGCCTCTTAAATTATACAGCAGAAGGTTTTTTTAATGAAAATCCCCATAAGTAATTTCAGGATTAGCTGACATTCTGTTTTTAGTAGGTTCAATGTCCTGGCTGAAGCCCAAAGTGCACCAAAAGCCCACAGCCCATGAATTACTCCCCAGCACAACAGGACGCTTCTCTTTCCACCAGCTGAGTTACACGCTTACCAAAACTCAACCTTGATGGTCCACAAAACAGTTCATATCGTTTCATATTTGCTATCAATACATAACTTAAGTACATGTTAGAGGAAAATGAGATAACTTCAAAAATAAGACTATTTCTGGGGAACCTAAGTTAAATCCTTTGGAATGAGTTGATAAAGTTGCGTCACTAAAGAATAAATCACTGTTAAATTAGGGCAATTAACAACTAAAATATTTGGGAAAATTATAAAATCTATGATTTTCCAACTCAGGTTGCTTTTCAAATGTCTTTATGCTGTTTTTTCCACCCTAAATGGAAATGTTAGATGAAATATGATGGCTGTGCTTTATGCAAGAAAGATGATGTAAACTCCATTCACTTCCCCAAAGTGAGGGCCCTGGTGTTAAATCAGAGTATTGGCTAATAAATGCACATTTCGGTACGTGGAAATGACATGTGTGACATCTCATTTTTAACATTTTCCTGTATAACCTTAGGCTGTGGCCCCCATCCTATTACATAAAAACACTTGTAACCATACAGAAAGATGACAGGTAAGGAGAATCATTCTTAGGGTGATTTTAAATGCTTCTTGTTAAGATCTAGGTAGGATAGTCGTCACCCCTTCTCCTGTTTCCCATCAACATTTCCATATCAGGAATATGACTGGAACAAAAATATCCCAAAACTAAATAATCAGAGGCTGGCATTTTGGTATGTTTCTGTTTTTGGTCTTATTATCTCCTCATCTCCAAAGCACCGAGGCTGGATTTTAGCTGAACTTCAGAAAAATAATTTAGAGTTTTGCCTGCCAAACATCCAATTCAATCAAAATTGGGATAATGTTAAAATAGGTTGGGGGGTCTGAAGTTATTTTTTAAAATTACAAATGACATATTCTTCCTTGCTTCAAAAATCCCAACTTGAGAACAGATGTCCTGAAAACATCGCTTACGGGCCACTCACGCACACAGTTAGGTTTTTAAATGTTGGGTAATCTTTTTTTTTTTTTTTTTTAAGCAACTGTGATTCTTTTTGATAGTTCCATGTATTTGCCTTGGTTTTAATTACATTAAGAAAGCCTCTTACGTTAGAAGGCAGGCTAAAGCAGACAGCATTGTTCCTTCAAAAATGTCCTTGAGAGGCTGAGGTATTTCTAGGCGGAGCCACCCCCCCATTTACTCACCAGAACGCCTCACACTTGCTTCTGGAAGAGTCACTTATCCCTGACAGCTGGCAGCTGTTTCTGCCCTACCACTTGAGTCCCGGAAAAGCTTTTTTGGCCCAATGGACTTCAGAGAACACACCGAAAGTAGTGGAAGGTATATACCCGCCAGTTCCCACCCCAGGTATGAAGAGAGTCACATAATCGTGGATTCTTTGGATGAGAAGAGACCCTACTCGGGGCTGCAGACACCAACCGGATACCTGGAATCTGGTGACAGCATCCTCACTGTGGTGTCATCCGGCGCTTAGTCCCATCATAGCAGTCTGTTTGTTGCCTATCGGGCGCTTTTCACAAACTGTAATTCATCTGTTTGGCCTGTTTATTATCTGTCTCTGCTACTAGAATGGAAGCTTCATGAAAGCAGGCATCAATCTGGTTTGTTTGGTTGGTCTCTGGGGTCTAGTTCACTGGCCAATGAATGACCACCTCAAATGAGGGTAACCATATCGCTTCTGGAAGAGTTTTAAACATGTCTAACCTTCAGAATATTATTCCTTAAAATGAGCGACAATCTAATACTTTGTAATATCAACCTAATTCTAACACTAACTCTGTTATTAAACCAGAGGAATAAATATAATATTCCTACTTGAGAACTGTCTCTGAATCTTTGAGAAATTTTCAGATTCTTTCTGTATCTCAGAGTTTAATATACTCAAGACCAACCATCACAGGGTCAAGCTCCTAGTCCTTGCTCAATAAAACAAAACAAAACAATGGAAAAAACACACTCAGGAACTTATGGGGGGGGGATACCGGCATTCTCAAGAATGCTCTGTCTTCAGGGGAGGAAAACATCCTGGCCTGAGTCACATGTCTCACTAGAGATGAAAGAGACCTGTCCCTACCAGCTTCGTAAGTGATGAGGCTAGACCGGTGACAAAGTCTGGTGGGCTGAGCGGAGGGTATTTATGTTAATGGCCAGATCGAGCTGGACTGCTGTGGGTACATAACAAACAGAAGATGTTAGGTGTGGGCACTGCACCAGGTAGACGTAACAGGGTCCATTCAGGTAGCTGAAAATCTAGAGTTACACTTATGGCCACTGTACCATATGCCTGTACCCTTTATGACTTAACGGGAATATGTTCCCCACTGATGGAAGAAATCCTTTGGACCAAAAGCGTTTTTCCAGAACAGATGGTAGAGACATCTATGGCACCAGTTGGTGGGGCAGAGTCAGTCCATCAATTGGTTATTTGGAGAATCAAACCTTCCCCATGTATCTAACATAACATTTTAGCTTTGGGTCTTCATGTTGGCTATCCAATTTGGAGGATGTCAGCCTGTGGGGTAAAAAGTTATTAAAATGGGAATAAACAGCAATGGTGGAATTCTCACTTCTTTTCTTGAGAAAACACAGCAAAATAAGCAGAAATATATATTTTACCTTCTAAAATGTGCATCCTGACAAGTTCAGAACGATCTGGTCGGCTCCGAATCTTATGCTTCAAGAAGTTTTCAGTCTGTGCAGAGAGAGCGAGAGCAAGAGCGAGAGAGAGAGAAAGTCTTACCATAAATTGTTTATGACTTATTGTGGTTTTGCATTTTTCTCTCAAGGTACTCCATTTAAATAAATTGTATACTCTTTGGTCATGATTTTGAGAAGAAAAGAGTAAATTAGTACTTTAAAGAGCTATTATCCAATACATAATTTAAATTGCAGCCTTTAAAACTGTACAGGGACTTGAAATGCATGCTGGCATAAAGTAAGCACTTTATAGACTTTTATTTTAAAACTTGTAAAAGGTAAAAGGCTCAAAATTTGCAGACACAGGATTCTGATCATTTAAGTATCTAATATCTACAGTTCAGGTCAAGTAAAAATCCACCTAAATAACAAATTTCTTTAAAATCCTAATGTGTTTTTGTTGATGACTTCATATCCTTGATCATACTTCCTTATTCAGAAAGGTTCTCAACTGATTCTAAGAGATCATTACTGCATTCTGGGAAAATTCCTACTATGGAATTTTTGGAACATGCTTATTTTCATATTGCATGACACAAGTATTCCCTAAAGGAAAAAGAATAAATGTGCATAGTGGTCCTTTTAAAGAAAAGTAATGAACACGAATTTGATGTGCAAATAGGATGGAAAACTCTCAATGAATAAAGCAGAGTTGAAACACAGCAACTTCTTAAATTCAGCCAGATCCCCCTGCCCTGGGTCAAAGGTAGAGCTGACGCAGACCCAGTAAGGAAACGTCCTAAAGATGTGTGACTGTCAGGACACCACATGGGCTGTTGTTGGTCTGCAGCAGAAACAAATGGCAGAAATACTCCATGGTTATTCTAAAACCTGCCGGTCTGCCCTGAAAGTGCCAAAGTGAAGAAATGTGATTGGTCCTTCATGTACAAAACTAGTTACTGGTATCAGAAGAACAAAATTTGAACATCATGCATTTTCTACAAACTTCCAAGAGATAAAACTACCGCAGAATATATAACTCTGTAAACCACCTGTCCTGAAGATGCACTGCATTTTCTCTATGGATATATTTAGGAGTAAGAGTACCACTTGCCCACAGGTACTTTAAAATACAAGAGAGAAGCAGAGAAGGGGATCGTCTGAAACTGAAATTTCTTACTCTGGCTCGTTCCAAGCTTTTTATCTGCTCATGGAATGCAGCTGGGCTCTTCAAAGCTGTGAGAAGAACAAGAATCATGTAGATAGAGGAGTTAATATTTCAGCCAAATGTTAGGGTACATTATGTTGATGTTCTCTCTTAATCTTATTAGTTTGCATCTACAGTTCCATTTATTACTACTTCCTTTAGGAGCTCTGAATAATTTGAAACCTTAGATGTTTCAGAATTAAAATGATATATTCACAAATAAAACAAGTGAACATTTAAGATAGAATTGTATACATAATGACAATACAAATATCAGGTCAGACTAACTGAATCCAGCAACTGAGTCAGATTACTACCACCAAGGGAACTGTGTAATGACTCCTTGACAGGTCTTTGCTCTTAGTGGCCATAAAAGATGCTGGAAGAAGCCCAAATGTCCAGAGGACGTTTAGCCTAGGAGTGATCTAACCTTGAACATGAGGACACCCTATACTTCCTGTCTAGCAGAGCTCTGAGTTAGCATTCAGTGAGACACCACAATAGATGTTGGGGGGGGGGGGCTCAATCACAATTATATTGCTGTTATTAGTCCTTTAAATATTCCAGAATCCCAGAAGGAGGATATGCAGTTTTCTACTAAACATCATTTACTCCAGCATTCCTATAAATTATCTTTGCAAAATCTTTTGTGTGTATGTCCACCTAGAAGAACTACAGGTGGTCAGACACTGCAGGTAGGATCTGGGCGAGGTTTACTTGGGCTGTCACCTCTAAAACTTGACCCTCTGGATAGGATTATTTTCAGCTCTGGTACTTGAAGTACTGCAAAGATTCCTGGGAGACAAGCCCATCCAAGTTTGTCTAGACTAGAGCTGGCTTGGCAGTGGTGTCTTAACCATCACAGATACTATTTAACTGATTGGTTCATCATCTGGCAGATGTAGTAATACTAGATTTAAAATATTTAGATACTTAATTAACAGTAGTCCAGAAAAGTTTTATTGGGAAAAATACTGCAGAGAAAAAGGGTTCTCCTTATAATAAGCAAAAAAAAAAAAAGGTAAGATCAATGACTCAGAAGACTGGGGAGCATAAATCCATTTTGCAATTTCTTTTTAGACTTTTAAAGCCATATAAATTACTTCTTAGAGAAATCAAGTTTTAGACAACTATCCATATAAATAATCATAATGCCAAAACAACAACTCTTCTCCCTCTAAAATATGAAATCACCTCCAAACTTGGTGAATACAGGTAAGAAGACAACAGGCAAATATTCTAAAATTAATCAACTCCAAAAAATGAAGGAAGGAGGGACTGGAGATACTTGGAAATTATCCACTTGGGCAAGAAAGAGTTTAATAATTATAAATAGATTTCTGTTACTCCTGTAACCGAGATGCACTTAATTACAGGCCAGATTGTATTGTATCAAGGATAACTAATTTGAATTAAAGTAGAACCAGCTTTGAATTAATTTTATCATGTGACTTTTCCAAGGCTAAGGAACACCAGACCTATCACGTAGTGATTTCAATGAGTTCAAAACTAAAACAAATGCTGATGCTGGAAGTAGGACCTGATCTTAACCTAACTATCCAGTTTTCAAGGTGTTCTTTACTTAATACAGAATTAATTCAAGCCCATCTTTTACGTTGCATCTGGTGTTCATAATATTATTGGAGAGGATTCTCTGTGGCGGGCAGTGCTGCTGCCTGGGTTTCCTTATCAGCTCATCTGGACACTGTATACTGACTACGTGGACACCACTGAACGCAGAGTGTGATCCAGGGCCTCCTCAGACAGGTGCGCTTTGTTACATCACGCTGGAAGTGACAGGGACACTGAAGTCTTACGTGGCATGATGCCCTGGTCCACCAGCTGTTCTCTCGTCCTTCTCTGCTGGAGCCTCAGCTGGAGCACTGTGAAAAGGAAAGGATCACCACTGGAGTTTATCAGCAACTGCAGGTGCCAACGCACGAGGCCCCAAGGAGATACAACTATGCTGTATTAAACACCTTCTATTTCGTAACTGAATGAGGGTACTACCTAGCACCATCCAACTTGTCAAAGGAAAATCGATTTGTGGTCTCTGCCTGTTTGGTGAGCTCGGAAGTTCTCTTAGCATATTTTTTGGTCAGTTAGTTCATAATCTTAATTTGACGAACATCGCTAAGTATTTGTTGTGTAAATACAATCACAAAATACTCAGCAAATAAACAAAACTAGTTGACTTATACATTAAGACTTGCTAATAAAAAAAACTTGAACTTGTAGATAGAAATTGAGATTCCTTGACATTAATTGTTTTTTTTTCCCTAAAGCAAGAACAAAAATTTTATTTTCAGATTGTCTTATTTGGAGAGACTTGCTCCATCTGGAACAAGATTTAAATAGCTTTAATGAAGGCCAAATTTATAATACAAATTAGACCTGTGAGGTATTACTAATGACCCAAAGGAAAATTTCTAAATTAAGAACTTAAAGTTTAATAATCTCTACACAAACGTAACCCCATGCCTCACTGCATAAATTCTTAAAAAGCCAAAATCAATCGATACCTTATCTTTTTAATGAAGAAACAATAAATAAATCATTAGAATTTGTAGAGAATGAAGTATACATCATAAAAGGTGAAAAATCCAGTTTGCCAAGTTTAATAAAAAGAAAGTTACCCCTAGATTTTTCAAGCAGCTTCCTTTCCTAGCATCTGTTTTTGTCTGGAAAACGAGCCGATTTCACAAAAGAATTTCGTGAAGTAACTTTGAAAAATACTTTCCTTGGTTTACCTTATGTTAAATTTTAAGTTTCTATTTTGATTTTTATGGTTTCATCTATGGATGAAAACCAAGGTGAGGATCATTAAGGGCCTGAGTAAGGGTTGCCAATACACTAAAAAAAATTACCTTTATGTATTTCCTGAAGAAAGAGAGAATTTTCTAGCAAGGAGGTGATGGCTGGCACAGAGGCTAGCTCAGGCCAGTTACATACCCAGGCTTAAATATAAATATAGTGCAAAAGATGGCTCCTACTTGTAATAACCCCTGAGATCGAAAGGCACAGGACCCATGGCCCTTATCCTTTGCTTGATGCTTCTTGCCCTTGTGCTGGGTACAGAGCAGAGCACAGTCCTCGACACACTTGCCAAACAGTCCAGACTGTAATATGGCTCTTAAACACATTTTCTTATTCATTGCTAGATATGAATGTCATCCTTTATTAAATTCTGAAATTTTTTTTGCTTCTTTGGGGGGCCCACAGGGGTCACAAAGCATCAATGACCTTCTAGTTAGAGCCGAAGCACTGACCTAAGATTCTATTACATAAAGCAATAGAAAAATTTGATGAGTCAAAAAAGTACAGGCACATGTCTCTCCCAGTAAAATGGCCTGAGATACTTCGAATCAATTATGCTCTAACACAAAGATCTCCCTGATAACTCATTGTTTCCTGAGGATAGTATGTTCCCATCAAGTACTTTACTAGGAACAAAAATAGCCAAAGAGATGACCTGTGGACAGGACAGCCCCCAAATGCCTGCAGACTCTAACATTCTTCTGTGAATGCGAAAGCTAACACTTGTCTGAACTTGAGATGGTCATATTCAAAGGCTGAATCCCAAGGAGAGGAACACTGAGAGGAGAAAAGGGTCAGAACCAACTCCAGTTCAAAGGCTGACACTTCTGGAACACGGTGGTCCATGTCTGCTGATGGCTCTCTAGCAGTGGCAGCCTTCCTTTCTCACAAGGGGGTCCTCGAAGAAAGGTGTAAAATAGAAAGAGTAATGAAAACATCAACAGCCCCCTTCTTTGGTTTAAAACAAACAAGCAAAGCACCGTACTTGTGAGACACGTGTACCACACACGATACAGATCTTTAGGGCGCACGCATCTGGGGATGGTGGGTGCGTTTGCAACAGCTCCATCTGCAGACCAGTGATGGCAGCAGCTCGTTAGCCTGGAGCGTCTGCTAACTGCACACAGGTCAGCGGCCCTCATGCACTGTGACGGCAGCCCTCCCAGTCTGGGGATCTTTGACTAGAAATCACATTCTCGTGCTGACATGCAAACTATGTGCGCTACCAGGAGGGTCCCACACAAAACAAAAGCACGTCACCAACAGTTACAACAAAACAAACACCAAACACAAACCGCTTGTGTTTTCCGTCCAGGTTTCTACATGGCAAACAGACCACCTTACTTAGGCCATACTGCTGGCAGGTAGAGAATAATCTGCCCCTTCGATTCCCTTCCCAGTGGCTCTGTAACCTTCCCAAGAAGCAACATCATCACACTGCAGCGCTACTCAAAGCAAGTGAGGCAGGCAGCCTTCTGCAGGCATGTTCGTCTCCTAAGAGCCCAGTCACTGGCTGGCTGCTCGTGCCTGCAAGGTGCACGTATGGGACGCGGGACACAGGGCAGCAGGAGCAGCGGTGGCCAGGAATGGAATGAATGTTTGTTTCGAAGCAAAGACATTAGGAAGAGCATGAATGAAGAGGCAGAGGTGCGCATGACAGTCAGGGTGTTCAGACTGATTACCCAGTCCAGTTTAGTTTTCACCTCTAACAGTAGGTGGGCAGCACTGGACACACCGCACTGACTGTCAGGCACAGTGTCCTAGGGAGAGACCCGGGGACACTGCCACTTTGGGTCAGGGTTAGAACACAGTTACAATATCCGCCCGCATGAAATACAACCAGTCACTCACAACTTGATAGAAGCTCTTCAGAGAATAACTAGTGGTTATAAAAAGTACAAATAGGCACGGGCTCACGATTCTGGGAAACAGCAAACTTCCTAAAAGGAAGGCTTCCCACTCAGAAGCCACAACCAGTCTGCACCCCAAAGGCAGAACGTCCAGGCCAGTGGAGACAGGTTTGAATGGTGCAGACGGTGTGGCTGTGCGGCGACACTGGACAACTGGAGGTGGCAGAACGTGGCGGGGCTTAGCCGGGACAGGGCAGGCGTGAGGCGTCCTGAAGACAGAGGACCTGACTTGGTCAGTAATCAGAGAGTCCCTCGTGGCTGTGGAATCAATATGGTTTCTTGAGTTTCACTGGGGGGCCTTTTGGAATTCAGCCCGGAGACCATTTTCTTCCCTCGTAGGCTCCACACTCGCGCTCCCGGGGACCAGGGGAGGCCCAGCCCGCTGACGCTGCCAGGCCTGCCACGCCGTCGTTGCTCTTAAGACAAGGGAGCAAACTGTAACACCGGCCGGTCTTTGGAAAACCTGACACTCTCTGCGTGTGTCGGTAAGAGTGCATTTCTGCAGCCACAAAGGTTAAGACTAGACGCTGGTCCAGCAGGTGCTTTCCTGGGGTCGCATCGGGTGGTCGAATAGTTGCCCAAGAGCCAGTGTCCCGGGCAATGGCCTTGTGTCTGAAAACCGAACCTCAGAGTATCCTCCCTCGTGCCAAGATGGGCTAATCAGCTGAGCTATTGGACTGACACCACAGCTTCCATCCTATTAGGGAATTAACGAAAACTGAGGGTTCTCCATGGCCATTTTGCAAATACTACACATAACAGAAAAAAACCATGTAAATCTAGAGAATTCCGAAGGAGAAAAAAATAGTTCAAAACAGTCAGTGAGCGGCTACATCCTTTCAGAAAACAAAGGGGACACAGTAATAATAGAGCAAAAGAGAATTCATGTTACAATTGCTCTTATTTGAACATTTTCAAAGAATGTCTTTGAAAAATGTAAAAATGAAAATAATCCAATGCATGATCCTGCTAAGTCTTAAGTTTAAAATCGCTGAGTTTAAGCAACCCTTTAATTTTCTCAAAAAAGGGGAGTAGATATAAACGATACATATCTCACTAAACAGCTAACACTGTACTCTGTGTAAAAGCATATACCACAAGTTGAGAAGTCTAGGACAGCTCTGTGTCTCCTGATGACAGGACTCACAAGAGGTGCTCAAAGGACCCCCATCAACGAAGGGACAGAAGGTGACAGAGCCATTTGCATATTGGATGTGGCACATCTCTCTTGATTAGCCTGAGTCCAAATCTTTTATTTTTTATTAGAAGAAAATATTTTCATCTAAGAGTCATGTATGTTCATTACACAAGAAAAGGAAATGTACAAAAGGAAGAGGAAGAAACTAAGAAACAAAATCACTGATAACATCACCCAGATGTCTCTTTTTGATAACTATTTTGATAACTACACATTCTTTTGCCCGCACATGCCACGGTTTACTAAATATCCCCCTGCTGTTTAGCATTTAGGTGGTTTCCAATTTATGCCAACTATATATAATGATGCTACGGTGGAATTTTTGTGCATAAAGTTTATTCCTTATTTCCAAGTATTTCCTTAATTCCGAGAAGAAGTAATACCTCTAGTGGTTCATATAACGTGTGACCATGAAGTGAGACAAATTTCTTCATATACAAACCAGCATCTTTTGAAATTACAGCAGATGTGTGAGGACATGGATACAGACTACTATGTATTTACTTCATGTAGAGAAAAAATTTTAATTTCTGAATTTTCCTAAGGTGGATGTGTCTTAATACTTTTTAAGGCTAACATACATGGCTTATTCTTATATTTCAACAAAGAGAAAAAAATACAATTTTGAAAATTCTGTTTCACATTATTCTTTACTGTAACAGATAAGAACAATACTGTGTCAAAATAAGTGTTGGTTACTTGCTCTTTTATATATATATAAAAAATGTAAAACTTTGGTTTTTAACTACCATTCCAAAAAATGAAAAGTAGCTTATTCAATGTTAAAGAGGAAATGTCCCTCTTATATAGCAGCACAGACAGTTTACACATTGAAGTGTATTTTCTTTTAGTTCCTTTCCCCTGCTTCTTAAATGGATTAAAATGCTTTCAGAACAAAATTTCAGGATTAGTTTCCAGTAGAAAAAAAAAAAAAAAAGAAATATAATATGCAATAACG